CTGTGCATTAAAATTAGCCCATAATTATATTGCTAAGGAAATGAGGAAACTTTATGAGAGTTTATCAGTGCTCACAATTTACTAAGGATTAAAACTCTGACTATAAGAGGGGAAATAAGATTTGAGAAAAAAAATGAATCTCTGTTCACTTAAACTAACGTTCCAATATCCGAATTTGGCAACTGCCTGCATCTGGGATGTGTATTTATAAAACCAGAACTAATAAAAGCAGTGATGAGCAACTATGGAAGTCATAATTTGGTTCAAGTAAATCTCTCAATTTTTGTATGTGTATGAGCATATTGCTCTTTGCTAATTTCCTTTTAGTACTTATTTCTCGACTGCTCACATTTTTACCATGTGATAATTTTTTAAAATGTTCTCCAAAGTTTTTAACTTAGTTCACTTAATAGATTTTTCTGTAACGTTGGTTAAACAGTGTCCCTTATGTACAGCCCTTCAGTCACAGCACTGAACAGAGAGAGGCTCTGATTCACAAAATGTGAATTTCTGACTGTTGCTTTTTTTTTTTTTTTAAGAATTTGAGCAACACATGACAAATGCTTTCTCGCCCTGTTTTCTGTATTCCATCTACCTTCCTGCCAGCATAATAACCCCCCAATTCTGAAAATAGTGGAGTAACAATGTACTAAAGAGAAAGATAAATTCCAAATGATTGTTTAATTTCAGCCAACAATACACAGGAATTAAGAATAATACCATCACTTAGGTTGAGTAAATTCCCAAAATGCCATTTGACTTGACGAAGTAATGAGAGAGGATGCATCACTAATGCCCACTTCCATTCTTGGGAACATCAAAATGGCAGTTTCTTCTACTCTAGTGAAGTTTAATTAAGGGGTTATCTCTAAAAGTAGTCTCAGATAAAAAGTCCATGAAAATGCACTAAGTCTAACTTTCACTAAGTCTTTTAGTAGTGAAATTTTCTACATTCTGAATTTATATTAAAAAACAGGGTGTTTTTTTTGTTTGTTTGTTTTTGTCTGTGTGAGAATGGGGATGAGCATACATGGACATTCTCTGGTCCCGACAGACCTCGCAATAAGCCAGGCATCACAATAACTCTATTTTACAATCCTGGATTCCAGAGAAGCAAACGTTTCTACAAGTTTCTTTATAATTATAAGATATACTGACATCTAAGTACTCCACAAGACTGGACATCCTAACTTTCCTATTAAATTGATAATGAGAGCATTAAACAGATATCAAAAATGTTCAGGTAGATATTAAATGACACAATTAACAAAACATAAATATGGGTTGTTTTTCTCTTAAAGTCATACCTAAATTTTAGTTATTAAAATTAGGTATTAGCTATGACAGAATCCTAGAATTTGAGAGATGACTTCACACTTATTTAATCTAAACCTTCTATTTAATGGAAGAAGAAAAGAAAGCCTAGAGAAGTTGTGACCTGCCCCAGATCACACAATTAAATAGTGGCACAGGTAGAACTAAAACTTGATTTCACTTTACCATTTCCTTGACAGGTTAGAAAAATTATAAACCATAGATTTATTTCCCATTACAAAACTGCTCTTATTTCCTTTTCAGCTTCTATTACTTTAGGTTGAAATTTCCCTGCTTTACACACACTTGTTCAAGGAGTTACTGACTCACCTACAGAGGACTTGAGAACCAGAATAAACTTGAGCAATCATAATCCAACCATTTCATTTTCTCATCAAGAAACAAAGGCCCAGTGAAGTTCTGAAACTTGCCACAGTAAAAGAATGAGCGAGTGTCTCAATAGAGCCTGCATCCCTGTCTCCTTTCTTTCTGCTTCAGCAGACTTTACTGCAATCTGGTTCATGTCATGCTGTTTTATGCATTTAAGTTATTTTAAAAGTTTAGTAGCATGATACATTCTTTCACAAAGCAAGTAATCACATTTAAATATCTGCTTAGATCTGGATATATTAAATAGCATGTGGATGTGTCTAACAAATAAATCATAGCCATCAATGACATAAGACCCCTATTCTGGCCTAAAATGCTCTTTCTCCACCTCCTCAGTGTCCTCCCTCTAGTTCATTCCCAAATGCCTGTCAGTGAAGGAAATAAGGACCATTATTATATGCATTCTCTCTCACTACAACAATTTCCCCATTGATTCAACAGGATTGTGGGGTAGGGCTTATTGGCAGTATGACTTATGATAAACTTTTACTCTGCAAACAACACTCTATTTTAAAATTTCTATTTTTTTCTAACTGGACATAAAACTAGATCTAAAAAGAAGGCTAGAGAAGTTATGCCTATAGATTTTGGAGCATACCCTAAAGTGAGCAAGTTTAGATTCATCCTCTGTTTGGGCAACTAATTCTGATCCTATGCATCATCAAAGATTCCTTTATTTCTCCTCCTTGTTTTTCCTTCCTATGAGTGTTTCTGCTGTTGAATCATGTCCATGCCATTCAATGATTATCTCACTGTACTGAGGTCAGTGGGGAGCAATTTACTCTTGTTTGCATTGTTCCCAACAGCCATGAAAGATCGTAAGTAACAATGCCCCAAATTATGTTCATATAATGCTAAATCTTCCTTGAAAGATCTATAGCAGAGTAATGCAAACTATTTTACTGATGTGGCTGTCATTTCAATATGTGAAATACACACAAAAACAAAAACCAATGTCATTAATTTAATATGTGCTTGATAAGCTTTAATTTAATGATTATAGGTCATTAGTAAAATAACTTGGCATCACACCCTTCTGGGTACTAACAGTTTAAGGAAAGTAAAACACATAGCATGAGCTTTAAAACCACTAGAGAAGTAAAACCTGAATGGAAATTTTATAGTGAGTGACCAAGTCAGATTCTGTAATACTGAGTACAGAGTACAGATAACTGAAAAGTTTTGGGGATATTATATAATCCGAAAAATCAACCATAGGTTCAATACTTTAACACTCATTATAAAAACTAAAAAACAGTGTGGTGTATTATAGAACATGGGCTCTAGAGGTATAGTCAAATATCAGCTCTTACTACGTAACCTCAGAGAAATTACTTGAATTCTATATGACTGTTTTCTCACCTTTAAAATGGTTATAATAATAGTACTTATCTACAAGGACTTTTGATTTAAAATAAATTGAAATATATTGAAAGCTTTCAGAGCAATGCGCAATATATTATACATGCTCAATCAACATTCTCTATTATTACTGTAAACCAGTCTACTAATACAGTAAACCCAATAAAATTACGTTGCTTCTGCTTTCTCCATGTCTTTCCATACCACTGTATGATATTAACAAATAATCAGATCCTAGTCATTGGACTATTGGAATTCTTTTATGCTTTCCTATTATCTTAATTCTCATTTTTAATTTGTAGGCATTCATTGGCTTCAAACATTCCATTGCCCGATATAAAAAGGTGAGAATGCTCAAGTTTTTTAATTTGAAAAAAAATGAAAATGAAACATATACTCATAGTACAGTTTCAGTGATCATGTATATGTTCATAACTTTAAGTCCTCAATGAAAAAATAATCTTCATTCCAAAAAGAACATAAATAATTTTTAGTGAAATTAATTATTGTAAACACGTTTAAAGAGATTTTCAAAACAATTTCAAAGTATTTCTATGCAATGTTTCTAACATAATACACTTTATATGCATGCTGAGGAATATTCACAGAACATATATTATAAATCATTATCAAACATTTTCCAAATCCCTATGTCCCTAATGATGATGGCATCTGGTAAAACATCATTGTCAGAAATCTCTAAAACAAAAATGGTTTTTATTCTAAGCCTAAAGTATTTTTAAATCAAGCCACAGGGAAATAATTACTTTTGTTTCTATTCAATCAAGACCTGCACACAAAGTTTATGGAATGACATAATATCCTTCCTGAAATCAGATCGGTATGTAGGACCAGTATCCTTCACACATAACCAGTTCCTGAGCCTTTACAAACAAATCCTAATTTCCAAGGAAACAATCTCATCAAATGCTGCTCACTAGAATTCATATTGTTCCTTTTGGAAACAGAACAATAAGATTTTCACGATTACAAACCCCAACTTCCCATTTAAAACTCAATATACTCTTAAACTATTTTAAGTGGAATTTGTTTGTACAATGGCTCTAGAAAATAATTTGTTTCTTTTATTTATTTATGTTTTTAGAAGAGGGAGGTGGTCATAAACTTCATAAACTTACTGGGTAAGTGTGCACCAGTTAGGGACTTCCTAGGAATGTTCATCTGTCTTGTTTCTACAGACCTATCCTAAGATTAGGGGAACGTTTTAAACTATTTTTGGAGAATGATGAATTTTAGTGATGTGCCCCCCCCCCCCCCCCCCCCCAAAAAAAAAGGAACATCCAGCAGCATATAATCAATACAGGAAGCTGGGGCTTCTGTGCACAGGTCACAAGACTTGTTTTGAGATTAGAGGACACATTTATCCTTTACCCGCAAAAAACAATATCAACAAATCAGTGGCAACTACTGACACAAACATACAAAGAGGCAGAAATGTGAACCTTATTGTCAGTCTCATGCCCTTAAGACTGGAATTCTAACTTTCCCTGCCACTAAGAGTGTTCTTAAGAACCTGTGCAGGGTGGAAGTGAGTAACCCCTTGCCCTACGGATTAAATAAACAAGTATCCAAGTTTCAAATGTGACAGAGTGTAAGGAACCTGCAGAAAAGCTCCTAAAATGCACACTGAGTAAGCCTGTCTCATTTACTCTGTAAACACATATAAGTTTTGGAATTTTATGATTCACTGTCCTACCATGAAGTTTTTTGTGCACTTACGTTATGTGGCAGCTAAGTGCTGTCACTGTTTGCTTAAATCTGCAGCCTAAAGTTATTTCTAAAAGTTACGTGCAACGTGGCATAGAAATCCACATACTGTAAAATGAAAACAATAATTTACAAAACTGAGTTAGCATGAAATTGAGCCAACAGAAATCAGAATTAGCAACAGCCTTCCACTAGCAGCAACTCACCTTGTTGAATTTTAGTCACTAGCTGATGGCGCGCTAGAATCCGGCTCATCCTGTAAGGAGAGCGTCTTGTAGTCTGATCAAATCGCAAGTACATCTCCTGGCCCTCAGATGTCATGGAATTTAGATAGTAGCAGCCTGAAGCTGGGGTCCTGGGTCCCTGACCGAACATCTCGGCAGATTTTCTTTTGCCACCTCAGTCTACCCTGGCTGTTTGCGTCTGTCTCCAGTCTCAAAGAGCAAGGCGCCAAGCCCAGCAGAGCTCCACAGACCAAGCGATATTTAAAAAGAAAAAGGAGTGCCAGAAGCCGCAACTCAGAATTCCAGCCCCCTGGCCCTCACGTGACCACGGGGAGCCAATCAAAGGAAGAAAGGAGCAGGAGCACTTCCACAGTCAGTCAGCCCCTAGCTGGGAGAGCTGTGCCCACCCGCAGCTTCTATCCCCAGCGCTGGCTGAAAGCAGCTGCGAGTATTTGCCTTGCCTCGGTGCTGACTGGGCGCCACAAAGCAGCACTCGCTAAAAGGGTTAAAAGAAAAAGAGAAAGGGAGGAGAAATGGCGGTAGGAGAAAAATAACCCCCAGGCATAGGAAATCTTTTAGGCTGTTAAAGCTAGAGAAAGCACATTCTTTTCTCCCAGATAGCTGCAGCTAGGTAAAAGATGAGTGTGATAAACACCCTAAATGAAAAACTACTTTGAATAAACATACGCTGCTGAGTATAAATTACCACGCTTCATTAAAAGAAATGAAGCTCTTCCAGTGAAATTGAACCTCAAGTGCTTGAACACGGGAGTAAATACACTAAACTTCTGGCCCTCTGCAATGGGAATCTGAGAGCTCTTACAGATAAGACTAGGATAGGCAAAGGGCATAAACATAACTGTTAAGTATCTGTTCTTTAATTTTCCTACTTCCTCAATTTTTAATCACCAAGAAGAATAATTTTTATGACGTACCTATTACATTTAGGACACTGCCAAGAATCATTGTAAAGATGCAGGTTCATGCCAAGGTACTGTCTGTGGCCAAACTGCTCAGATACAATAGAAAAGTTATGCAAAAGCTTGCAACAAAGCTTTATGTAAAAGGGTGCCTCAAAAAAAACACAAACGCAATGTTAGGGGAATAATATTATTTTTGACTGGGGTGATGATAGCAGACCACACAGAGGAGGAGACATTTGGGTGGACTTTAAAAAATGGTGGGATTCTGACAGGTAAAGATTGGGGAGGGCTTTCCAGGAGGGTCTCTGCCCACATGTGGGAGACCAGGAATCAGAGTTTGTGTTTAAGGAAAGTGCAAGTGATTTAATTTGGCCACAAGTGAGGATTCATATGGAAGTAGTTAGAATCCCCCCCCCTCCAATTTTTCCTATTTAATATTGTGTGATGTGAACAGAAAAAAAAGTCCATAGAAAATATGCTATTTAATGCTGAGCCTGAGGCTGAATGAATAAAGTTCTTTGAAAAAGAAGCATATGGCCAAGAGGTTCTTACATTTGGCTAACTCAAACTGAAACATGACCTGGTCTGAGATTTATAGTCCTAATAATGAAAAACTCTCCATAAGCCGCTTAACGGGACTTAAATAGGGGCCCTCAATTCTTATTACTGTGGTTCTCTTAAGGTTGTCAGCCCTAACATCTTTCCCTGAGGGAATTTTTGCTGGCCCAATTCTGAGAAGCAGCCTGTCTTTGGTAACTATCCCACTGGGTAAATGGACAGATTAATGAAGGTCTCTAAGGTCTACAATAAAACATACTCCCTCTTAAGGCAATTGTGAGCCTCTTTAAGTAATTATGCAAGAGTAGTAGGCAAGTTTAAGTCTTTAAGTCAGCATCATTGTAGAAAAAGAAAAGAAGATCTCACTGGATCCTGTTGTTCCCTTTTCATTCTTATTTAGAATTTGATCTGAATCTCTCTGTCCCAGGGCATCCTCTTAGAAAGGAATCTAAGAACTAGCGACTCCGTTGTGCCAGAAGAATGGCATTAATATTTAGCACTACACTGGAATATTAAATGCCTGTAAGGTCCATTTGTCAAGCTGAGATCCAGCACTGCTTGCTATCTGATCAGGATGCTGTCAGCCACTTTGTCTATGTGCTTTTGGTTTGGTAGTCCAACACTGGGGACTTCCCTGCCATAAACCATGTATTCTAGCCAGACAGCTGGCAGTAATTATTTGTTCATTGGGAGAGAATGGAAGAAAAATAGAGAGAGAAAGAAAAGCAGAGTATGGAACTTGGGAACTTTGGCTATGTTCTGGGAAGGAAAAGGCAGGAAGTAAGGTATAGTTGTTTCATAGCTGTCACTGACACAAAGAAAAACTGGCTATTCCCAATGTCACCCTTGTAGTTCATTATTGACTTGGTTGCATTTTAAAAATACTTGAAATTATTCTTCCTAAGAAGCACTGCAGTATATAATTTTTTTAAAAATTCACAATGCTTACTTCTTGTATAATAATGAATACATGAACACATGAAAGTCCTGAGGTGTTTTGTTCTAGAAACTTCAAGATCATTAATATGTATTTTTTGATATATGTAAACACATGTAATAACATGAAACATAGTATTTCATAGGCAACTGGCAATAAAGAACAAGCATTGACCATAAATTTTTAAAAAAGGAATTTTTACTCTCTAATTAAAAGACAATTTAGAATGAAGCCTAGCTTTTTAAAAAAATCAGTCTCAGTTTAAACAGGAGGATCCATGTAGGATTATGTATCAACATCTCTATCTTTCCCAGGGCATGTACAAGTTTTTAATTTTATGGTTCAAGTAGTATCTATAAGTCCATGCAACTGCTCACCATGTTTTTGTTATTTTACATGACCAAAATACCATAGTAGCAGATGAAGTAACATTATTTTCTCATTAACAATACATTTTTATGGAACCTGAATCCTCTTAATGACTTTTTTTTCCCAGCATTTGACCCCAGTAATAGAATTACCACTGGGTAGACAGTTTTGTTATGTTTGCTCTAAATGTAAGCAAACTGCTGATAAGCTACCCTGGGCTGATAATGCCCCCCTTGGGTCTCATTGAGAGAACTCTTCCTCTTCCGTGGTGAGTGAGTGAGGTCCAAAGAAATCAGAGAGGGAGGGAGTGCTGAAGTCCCAAGTGTGCCTTCCAAGATTGAAGCCGGATTTCTTCCTTTCCAATTCCTTCAAACAGAGGGACATGGATGGCACTAGTGGTTAATTTTTATCTACTTTTCCTCTTTCCTAATTTGTTCATCAAGAGCAAACTTCACTCAGTCGATTTCAGGGATGGGATGAACAGATGAATATTGGGAACTAAAAAGAGTAATAAAGAAAAGATGGAGGAGGGAGGAGGCTAACAGTGTTAAATAGCTACTGTGTACCAGACCTTATGATTTTACATTTCATGTCTTTAATTAACGTCCATAGCCATCCTCTGTAGTGTTTTATTTTATGGAAAAGGAAATTAAGACGCCCAGAGGTAAAGCCCTGGTGAAGTCATTGTTTACCTCTAAGCCAATGATATGTTAACTTTCCACTATGATACATGATGGACAGAAAAGAGGAAACTATGGCACAGAAAGGGTGCTGGGGAAATTAGATAGGGGAGAATATTTTGTAAGAATATACTGAAAATCATTTTAAGTTTATCTAATTGTATGTGATACTGGAATGTCTATATAGAAATATAGTTATGAGATGGCTAAAATACTGTGATGGTTGAGATCTGGGTGTTCAGATGTAAAGAGACACAAAGCCTAAAGCCTTTAATTAACCAGGGAGAACTATGGTCCTTCTTAGACCCTAGTCTGAGACCCTAGTCTATGGCTGAGAACTGAACCCACCCCCACCCCCAATCCTACAGTGAGGAAGCAGCTTGGCTGCTTCTTATTTTAAGGAGTTCTCTTTTGCCACATAGGCTGTCTTCTGCTTTCTGCATATCCTCAAGGCTAACTCTGCATATTGTCTGTCCTTTTCCATGGCATTTCTTCTCCATGCAAACACACCATATACAGTAAAAACTCTGAAATTTGATCTCTAAAAAAAATTGGTATTTAAAAATTTCAAATCTTTTGATAGATGATCCTAGATTAGCACTCAATGGAATTTTGTGTACATATGGCAGAGTGCTAAGAGTGCTTTTACAGAAGCCAGTAGTGGCTCACTGTGCTCTCATCTGTCTGCTTCTCCTTCTACTGCTTCACATATATTCCAGCTGCCTCATCAACCTGTTCAAAGGAAGCCAATACAGTTCTGCCAAGTAGGAAAATGTTTGAGATACAAGTGGTAGGCGGAAAAAAAGCAGGACTGATTTGAAAGACTGCTTTTGAAATTACTTGAATGCAAAGGTTGTGGGTTAATGTCATAGCCTTCCTGTGGGCTCTAAACTCATTTTGAGGATTTCCACCAATTGATTGTGATATATGTGCCCAACTCGGTGCCAATAAGCCTTTCCAATATGCATGCACCACATGCCCAATGACCAATACAGTCAAGTTAGTGATGCTAACATTAGCAGCCATAACCAGGACCCTCTGCAAAAGGTTTCAGAGTAGATTCTTGACTGATTCAGCTTCCGTAGCCATAGACCATGTCTCCCTTTTGGAGTCCTATCATGGCTGCAAAGACTTCTGAGTGGTAATAGGTTTTCTTTATTTTGTTTCTCAGTCTTCACTACTGTCCTTGGTTAATTTCACTTTTATAGGACGCTGAGAGTGTGGCTGTGCCCTCATGCCATTCCCCACGGACCCAACCATCAGTTCCAGTTCTCATGGCCAGTGATCTGGTCTGGCTTGTCCTGGACTCATTGCCTATACTCACCCATTCCAGCCAACCAAAATTTGTTCACTTTTCTAAGTTGTCTCAAAGATCTGTGACTGTGTGATTTCCTAATCTTCCACCCTGTCAAACATTGCCTTCAGAAATATTTTAATGACTAATACAAAACCCATTAAAATTAACAGTCATATTAATACCTATAAATAGTCATTATATGGCAAATTAATCAGATTAGTTTGGTACATGCTAATATGGAATCCATTTATTGCAAGTACAATGGGAATAACATTTTTACATCTTGGATTTGGAAAAAGACATTGAACATCTTCTAATCCAGACATTCATCTGATATACAAATTTCTGTCAAGCCAATTAATTAATATGCTACCCACATACATGAAGTCTATTATTTTACTGAAGACCACAAATAGTTTGAGAAAAATTTTCCTCATAATTTCCACTCACTGACTCTAATTCTGCCAGTTGGAGTTAGACAGGGCAAATCTATTTCTTCTTCCATATTCTTTTCCTT